CCGCCTCGGCGGCCTTTTGAAGCTGTTTCCAGCGGAACGGCGGAGTGGAAAAGCTAATGGAATAACAAAGCAGGGCGGCAAACCGCTCGTTTTCCTAATGTCTGCTTAGCTGGTTCCCCAGAGTCGCGTGTGGGTAAGCGCAACGAACACTGCAACAAGCTAGAACGTCGTGCTTTCGGTTTATTGCTAATGGCCTTTTTGGAAAGCTGCCCGTTAAAAAATCACGTCGTATTGCCCAGGCTTTAAGAGACGGGCGCTTCGGTGAATTAGTTCTCGTTTAGTAATCGTAAGGGAAGCGGATGTTTTCCTTGCTGTGACGGCGTTAACTTGGTTTTAATTAGATGCAGATAAACATGTAGCGTGTTGCAGCAGCGGGGCAATCGCCTAGCCAGTGTGCGTGCTGCGTTCCCTCGCCTCTAGTTACTCCTGCTAATCACTGCCTGGAAGCTCAAGCTGGTAACGCACTCCTATCCCGGCCGTTTTTTGTAAAAACACCGAGAAACCTCAGGGGCCCAAGCTAAACATATCAATTCCAAGCAGAGGGAGGAAAAAGAACATTTTATTGCTGCTGTGTTGCGGCTGGTGGGCGCGAGGAGGTTAGAAAGGAGGTTTGTGCTCGTGTGTAGCTGAGTGTGGAGGTCAGGCTTCCACGCAGCTGGTGCACGGGCGTGATCCGAATCACCCTGCCAAGGATCCTGAGTTAAACCCACTGCTGAATCGTCCCGGGAGCGACCAAAGGGGCAAATTCCTCTCGGGAATCCAATCCCCTTGCTCCAATATCTGAATTGATACCAAAAATGACAGCAGTGTAAACAACTCTGTCTTCCTTTTGCTTCTACCCAAAACGCTTCCAAGTAGGTTCCTCCAAATAACATGAATGTTGGTAACGTTGAACAAAGCTTACTGAATCCCAGCGTAATGTCTCAGCAAGAAACACGTTTTTTCTGATCTTTTAAGTGAATTTACTCTTTTCTGCTTACTCGTGAAGCAGAGATGTGTGTGCCAATTTTGTGGAGGACTGCTTTTCCTCACCAGAGCAGTCATTTGTGATTTATTGGCATGGCAGCGGTGCAGGGAAGGAGGCAGGAGACTGGAATTAAAGCTGCTGGCTCAGCCTGCCTTTGGAAGTGGCCACCTCAGCCTTGGGATGGCTTTGCTTGGGGATCACTGGCCGGGGAGTGAGCGGTTCTGACGTTCCCTTCCCTGGGAAGGTGTTTTTCACTTGATGGCCGCTGTGTTCTGCGTCTTATTCGCTGGTTTGGTTTTCTCTCGTCTGCTGGGGAGTCGTTTCTTGTGCTCCTGCAAGTATGTGGTGGTCCAATAGGAAGGAAGATGATAATGCTTGCCTCAGGACCCCCAAATTTTTAATAATTCATATGTCTCCTTGCATTTATTACTCCCAAGAGGGTGCCGAGAGAGCTGGGGGTCCCGTGTCTTCCCAGCAGTCAGCATGAAAGGCACATTTGTTGTGAGTTCTGGAGCGTGTTCAATGTGTGAGAGTGTAGCAGTGTCTTGGGGCCGTGCGCTTTAGCAGAACACTTTTGTGGGTTTAGCATTCATAGAATCATAGAATGGTTTGGGTTGGAAGGGACCTCAAAGATCATCCAGTTCCAACCCTCTGCCATGGGCAGGGACACCCTCCACTACACCAGGTTGCCCAAAGCCTCATCCAACCTGGCCTTGAACACTTCCAGGGATTGGGCATCTACAACTTCTCTGGGCAACCTGTGCCAGTGCCTCACCACCCTCTGAGTGAAAAATTTATTTCTTATATCTAATCTAAATCTGCCCTCTTTCAGTTTAAATCCATTGCCTGTTGTCCTATCACTACATGCTCTTGTAAAAAGTCCCTCTCCAGCTTTCCTGTAGGCCCCTTTAGGTACTGGAAGGCTGCAATAAGATCACCCCGGAGCCTTCTCTTCTCCAGGCTGAACAGCCCCAACTCTCTCAGCCTGTCTCCATAGCAGAGGTGCTCCAGCCCTCGCATCATCTTCGTGGCCTCCTCTGGACCCGCTCCAGCAGCTCCATGTCCTTCTTGTGTTGGGGACTCCAGAGCTGAATGCAGTGTTCCAGGTGGGGTCTCACGAGAGCAGAGCAGAGGGGCAGACCTCCCTTGACCTGGACACCTGGATTCTGGATTCCGTTTGCCCGTATCCAAGAGAAAACGGTAGCGAAACGGCAGGAGTAGGCTGCTGCTGTGCTTAAAGGTCTGCTGAGGCTTGAAAGCTTTGCGGGTCGGAGGCTGCGTGTGGATCATCAGACGGAATTTTTCTGCATCCTGCATAGTCCAGGCTTAGATCCGTGCCCTCGGGAATATGTTGGTGTTGGAATCCTGCTGTGCTAACCCAGCTCGGAGGCACCGCCAGTCAAGTGTCTTTGTTTTTTCTGTGCTTGTAGGATTTGATTGGAGCATGGAGCCCTTCTCACCGCCAGGACCAGGGCTTTCTGCAGAAAAGAGCTCCTCTGTGCCACAGAAAAACCATCATGTCCTGGTGGGCGTCACTGGAAGCGTGGCAGCCCTGAAGCTGCCTCTCCTTGTCGCTGAGCTGCTGAAAATCCCTGGGGTGAGTAAATCTATTGAAGAAGTTTCGTGAAGTTGGTGTTACCTCGTTTCTAGAAGAGATTTGATGGCTTCTGTTGAAATGAAAAGTTCCTTTTGGCTTTGAGCCCTGTAGTTGGAAAATTACAAGGGTAGGGGATGGTCCTCCTGTTTTTAAAAATTGATCTATACTTTTTCCTATCATTTCCTATTTATATAAAAGAGTTAGATTTAAATCAGGTTTTAAAGGCAGTAACTGTTCCTGGATGTTTCCATAGGCAGACATGTAGATTCTGGAATATGAAAGTAGCGTTGTTCAGTTCAGCTTACTTCATTCTCACAAAAATCATTGAACAGGTCCTTGTCTTGGTGTGGTTTTCTTTCTGAAATATGTCCTTGTCAAGTCAAATTCTCAGATCTGCCTACAGACACAGGTGGATGCTTTCTGGAACTTGAAATCTCTAATTAGGACATTGCAGTTTTCCACAGGTGAGATGTGGAGTTGACGAAGATGGACACTGCTGCCCGACCAGCAAAGGGAAACCAGCTCTTGTGAAAACAGAAATAGAAAATACAAGCCGCTGTATGTGTCTGTGCACTTCTTTTTTCTTACTAGTTTGTTGTCTGGAGTAACAGAGGTGTCCAGCAGAGGCCACTAGTGACTGGAATCGGGGAGGGAAAGTGCTAACTTTTTACTTTAGAATAGCTAGAGGAAATCAGAAAGCCTTTAGCTTTTAAGAAATGGAGCAAATGTTTTGGAGCAGTGAAATGAAAGCATGGCAGGAGCGACGAGGTGCACTTAGATATGCAGATCCATTGGTTAGATTGCTTAGTGAATGTTCTTTTGGATGATTTAGGAGGCTTTACCTGTAGCTACGCTAACACAGAAACAGAAGAGGTGCAATCCCTGAGTAACTGACGTAGCTGATTGATGTTGATATCCAAACTGGAAGGGGTACTGACGATGTGGCGAGCTGTTGGGCACCAGTTCTGCTAGCTGGGCTGGCGCTGTGGGTTGCACAGAGGGGCCTCAGTTAATTTATTACTTGACCTGAAGTGATTAGTGAGGCCAAAGGTCCTAGCCTGGAGTAAGAGGGCCAAAGGAAAACGATACCAAGGAATGGGAGCGACCCCACCAGTGCCAGGAATGTGCATCTTCTGATCCTCTGTCTCTTGGATTGGCTTTGCTGTTGTCTCTTTTCCTTTGCTCTCAGCACTTGGAACATTCTTCTTTGCCGGTGACAGGAAGAATGCAAATGGCCCACGGTAGGAATCTAGGTCAAACGCGTTCCTTCTCCCTGCGCGTTTGGTTCCTGATTAAAAACCGCGGACGGCTGGACCTGAATTCTCTGCGAGGGCCCGTGGGTTCTGTGACATCCGCTGCGGGCTTTGTGGTCACCGGTTTTAGGCGTTAGTTGCAGAAAAAAGCAAAAGCGAAGCATCCAGTCCAGGAGCTTCTGGTACTTCATTGATTCATTACAATTATTTATTTACTCGTTTCTGATGGGATTTCATCAGAAATCAGGCCGGGGCTGAAGCCTGCTGAGTCAGCGTGACTTTTCCATGGAGTTTGTTAAGTCCTGCACAAGCCTGTTGCATCAGTTTCTTTACTGATGGAAGAGAACTTTAAAAAAGCCACCGGAGGAGGCAGGGCAGGAGCAGAGGAAGGCTTTGATACCAAAGGAGATGTAGTCAGAGCCTTGAAACTGGAGTGGTTCGTTTAAATGGATGTTTTGGTTGAAACGACCACAAGCAGTGTGATTTTGCACTCATTAACGTCTCCTTGAGGGTGATAATGGATATGACTACATCTCACAGCCTTTTGTTTAACCTCTTTGAAGATCTAGGGAGTTTATATGGCATCAGCTTGCACCTCTCAGATTATTACCTTTGCAGCTGGTCTTGTGGAGAGACAGCGCATCGTGTCTCGTCAGGACACTGCGGGTGACTCCTGTGGTTCTGCTACACTCACACGTCTTGCCTTAGGCCAATTCCTAGTCTTTTTTGAGTGTCCTGGCAGGAATAAGATGACCAAAAGATCACATTGACAGAATATTGGTGAGTCATAAAGATAGAAAACGACAAACTTTTATGGGTGAAAGGTATTGCTCTTGAAGCAGCTCAGTCTGTCTGTCAAGATGTTGCTGTCAAAACTGAGAAAGTAACGAAAAAACCCCATCATACTCACACCCTTACCCCAAGCAGAAACATCTGTGACAAGAGAGTCCTCTAAGAGACACCCACAATGTTGCGTGAACACAGGAGAGCAGTTTTGCAGTCAAGTTTATTCTGGAGGATTGGCTTAAGTGGTCCAAGCAAAAGAACTCTAACCAGTCTAAACTGTCTCCAGTAAAGGAGTTTCTGAGTGTGGCTAGGCTGCCTTTGCTGTTTAAGCAGAGATATATCCACAAGCAAACAGAGGGTGTGCCAGGTAAATAGAAAGAAAAAAAACCCAGCTATGTAGGCTAAAGTGATCTTGAGAACACTGATCTCTTTCCAACGTAGCTGGAGAGACTTGAAGGACTTGCTCAGAACAAGAGAACCAGGAGCCCACCCCAGCAGAAACCCTTAATTAGGGAGAATGTTTAACTAATAGAGCAACTTTCTTGGGGGAGCAGTGGAGTGACCACCACTTGGAGTCCTTGGACATCCCTCTGGTATGCTCTGGCTTGTAGGGGGTTGGATGCAGTACTGGATAGCCAGCTATTCCCTGTTCCTGGGCTTATGCTGAAGAAACATGTATTTTTTTTTAAGACCAGAGATGGTTATTAAACTATCTTTTAAAAAAAAAGCAGTGTGTCTTATGGGGATTTTTCTACATCCATCGAATAATGACCCAATTGAAGTAGCAAGTGACAAAACGTGTCATATGGCAGGTGGAGTTGTGTCACCTAAACCACCTAAACTCTAAAACAAGAATACCACTAACAAAGGTCGCTGCTGAAAACTTGGTGTGCAGACCTGGCTTACTGGTATCATCTCCGAGAGCAGACGTGCCTGCTTTTAAACCACACGTTGCTCTTTAAAATCACCAAAGAAATGAGATCTTGCAGACGGCGGGGTTAACACCTCGCCGAAGCCCGTGGCTAGCGGAGAGCAGCGTTAGCACCTTTGTGGGTGTCGCCGCTCGGCTCCCAACAGCTTCCTGTGAGCTGAGGTTAGTAGGGAAACAGTTTGGTTGGGCGCTGTGAACGTGATCTTTGGGCTCGAAAGCACTCGAAACACAGCTGGGATTCCAAAGTAACGTGGCTCAAAAAAGAGCAGATGTTTAGAAGAGGCCAAAAAACCAAACACAGAGTACCAAATACTGGTGTTTCCCATTACTTTTCCTTCAGAAAATGGGGAAAATTCCCAAGATACGCTAAGGCTGGGGTTTCTCCCCTGCTCCCAGCTGTCGTTCTGGCTGTGTAGGGTGCAGATAACCAACTCTGCTCCCTTCTCAGTGGAATAGATAGTGTTGGGGAGATAGGTTAGCACATTTTGTCACTTCAACCACTGCTGGTGAAGATAGCTCGTTGGAGGTCGGAGGTTTTTAGCAAGAGCACGCAGACCGAGTGCTTCATCAGTTTTGGACCTCAGGCCACAGGTTTCTAGTGGGAAGTTGTCATCAGCAAGGCTGGTTTCTTCCCGTCTCTCTGGTGGGCTGATAGAACCACGCAGCAGGTTGCTGCTTGAAGGAGCAGGTGGTGGTTGAAAGTGGCCAATAACAAGGAAAAGGGTTCTTTTTCACCGTGATCAGTGGCCTGAGGTGCACCTTCCTCATTACTGGTCTTTTTGGAGCACTCCTTCTGTGTGTTGGCCCATCTATTGACTGGTTTTAAGGTACATTTTTGGCAAGAATTGCAGATGGAGCTACAGTTGCGTGTCCAGAGCCGCTCCGACACCAGCTTGATAGGGTTTCCCCAGTATATCCCATGTAACTGAAAGTTCCAGTGGCTTTCAACAAGGCAGGCAGGTTTATAGAATCATAGAAGGGTTTGGGTTGGAAGGGACCTCAAAGATCATCTAGTTCCAACCCCCCTGCCATGGGCAGGGACACCCTCCACTACACCAGGTTGCTCAAAGCCTCATCCAACCTGGCCTTGAACACTTCCAGGGATGGGGCAGCCACAGCTTCTCTGGGCAACCTGTGCCAGTGCCTCACCACCCTCAGAGTGAAAAATTTCTTCCTTAGATCTAATCCAAATCTCTCCTCTTTCAGTGTAAAGCCATTGCCCCGTGTCCTGTCACTACACGCCCTTGGAAAAAGTCCCTCTCCAGCTTTCCTGTACGTGTTACAACAGTTATTGCATTAGATCAATATTGAAATACTCAAAGTGATCACTACTGAATCAATACTCAATGTGTGGAACAATAGCTCAAAGTTGGCTTACTGAGCAATTACGTTACAGCCATTGATGTTTCTCACCATCATCCCCCATCATCGCCATGTTCATCCCCCCTTTTAGGCAGAGCATCCTGTTATACCTCACTGTGAATTGGCCATGTGAACATGTTTGGTGGCTGGTGACTAAGCACCTGCCCGTTTTAGAGTGGCATGAAATGAGTCTTTGGTGCCTGTGGTGGCCTGACCTTTCAGCTGTGAATAGGGGAAGGTCCTCTGAGGATCCACATCGTTTTCAAAATCTTTGCTGCTCAAGCCCTCCTCCTCCTCCACCCAGCTTTACAGGATTGTCCTCAAGTCTGACCATCAGTCTGTCTTTCTCTTTCTTATCTGATTAGCTCGAAGTGAAGGTGGTCACCACTGAGAGAGCAAAGCATTTCTACAATGCCCAGGAGATTCCTGTCACCCTCTACAGTGATGAAGATGAATGGCAGGTGAGTTGTTCTTCCTTTGGAGCCCTCCTCCTCCTCCACCCAGCTTTACAGGATTGTCCTCAAGTCTGACCATCAGTCTGTCTTTCTCTTTCTTATCTGATTAGCTCGAAGTGAAGGTGGTCACCACTGAGAGAGCAAAGCATTTCTACAATGCCCAGGAGATTCCTGTCACCCTCTACAGTGATGAAGATGAATGGCAGGTGAGTTGTTCTTCCTTTGGAGGCTGCAGGGGCTTCTGTCCTCTCCCCACTAGCCACGTGTTTTGTGATTCAAGCAGTTTTGTCATGCACTTGAGCCTTCTGCTGCCAGAAGACCAATGGGTCCTGTTTCAGAAAAAAAAAAAAAAAGGCTCCCTGGGAGATTCACCGAGTTGTTCAAGTGCTGAACAGCAAATGGAAGTGTTCCTCTAAGTTTCTTTGCCAGAGACCACATTTATTTATTTTTCAGTCCTGGAGCAAGACTCACTTCTTTGTTCTAGTAATGGATGCTTTGGAATATGGCTTTCAAAGAACATAGTTCCAACCGTGCTGTAAATAAGGGTCGTGATTTAGCCCAGCCACCACGAGTTCACTCGCTCACTCCTCCCCCTCAGTGAGGTGAGAGCAGAAAAATATCACAGAAGGCCTGAGGGTCGAGATAAGAACAGGGAGGGAGCACCCACCAGCCCTGGTCCGGGCAAAATGGACTCAGTTTGGGGACAAATTGATTTGCTTTGTTAACAGCTCATTCAGAGAGGATAACATTAAACAAAGCCAGATCTCAAAAAAACACCTTCCCCCACCCCTCCCTTCTTCAGAATGGGGGGAGTTGCAGGTCACTTCATCACAGGTTGTTTCTGCCCATCTTTTCTTAGAGGAGGAGGACTCCTTACACCTTTTCCCCTGCTCCAGTGGATCCTCTCCTCACGGGACAGGCCACAGACTTCTCCAACATGAGTCCTCCCTGCAGGATGCAATCCTTACTCATCAGATTACTCCAGCGCGGACTCCTTCCCCGCAGCATCACAGCTTCTTAGGGAGCTGCCACCCCTCTGGCATGGAGTTCTGCATGGGCATCAGATGCCTCTCCGCCTCGTTGTCAGCCTCCAGCGGCTCACGGAGACCATTCGCTACAACCCCCTTTGGGCACAGGCATCTCTGCTCCAGTGTGGGGTTCTCCAAGGGCTGGGAGTAGGTCTCTGCTGGCTAATCCGACTGGTTTGGGAGCTGGGGAAGCTTTTCACAGCTACTTACTGGGACCATTTCTGCAGCCCCTCCTGTGCTACCAAAACCCCATCATGTAAACCCAACACATTAAGCTTTTTTTCACAGCTGCTTCCAGGGGCCATTTCTGCACCCCCTCCCATAAACCCAGCACAATAAGGAAGAAAAGAAAGGCTGCCCTGACTTGTACCGGAGAATTTTGTACCGCCCTAGCAGACTTGAGGCAGGCAAGGAGAGTAGAAGTGATCTCTTACCAGCCTGGGCTCAGCTGTTATCTACAGCACTGAAAGGAGTGTCAGGAAATGTCAAAAAAGCCACTGCAGAGTCACGGTGAGGGTGTTTGGTGCTCGTCATGAGTCATACTTGTCACGAAGGCAACAGCTTAATTCTCCTTAACGCTACATATTCTGAATCTGGAGACATCGTTGATGTTCACCAAACCGCCTACGCTGCTTTAAAACTCAGCCCGGGGTCTGACTGGGTAACCTTGTGCTGGTGGGGCCACCCTGGTGCAGCGGTGCAGAGGAAGGCCGGTACCTGGAGACGTCATGCACCAGTGTGATAAATGGCTGGGAGTTAGAGGGGTTCTCCTGGTGGAAGTAGCGTTTATCTCGGAGGTGTCCGAGATGAACATAGATAGAAGAGCTATTCCAGTGAGGGATAGCTCAGTTGTCAAGGCTGTGAACATCTCTAGACGCTGTAAAATGGCTTTTTCTCTTGGCTACGGTCTTGCTGACATGCTTTGAGGGTTCCTGAGTATGAAGAGCTTCGTTGTACCAACATCAACATTGGGTTTTCTATACATTTTATCTCTACTTTGCAGTCCCGATCTGAGTACAAGGTGATCTACTCTTTACCAGTACTCTTGCCAACATACTCACACCTGAGCATCGCTTTTATGTGGAGAGAGGCATGCTAATGGCAATGGCCAGGAAGCTTTCTGGCTGATCTAGGAGATGAGTGGAGATCTGCTGAGTCCCAGGGTGCTCCAGCTCCAGGCAGTTATTTCTGAGGAGCCCTCGGTGGGGTGATAGGAGAGGTGCAGGTCAGGCTTTGAAGTCTGCTGGCACACTGAGAAGCAGACTTGGAGCCCTTATAACACACTGCTCTGACAGGATGGTGGAAAATAAGCCTGCTCAGCATCTATTTGTGAGATATTTTACTCTGAAAATAAAACTACAATTTTCAGTGCTTCTGAAAAAAAAAATAGAAGTGAGTGGAGGAACTGGGAAAGGTGTCAGGAAGCACCAGCTTTCCGGATGCTGTCTTTTTGTTGTGGTTTCCAGTGACTCAGAGAAAGAGCAGTTTGTGGCCCTGATGCACCTCTTGCTGGCCTGTGGTTGTGTCTGTCCTCTGGGGATTAAGCACCTGATGCTCTTTGCTGCTTCTCTTGACGCTTTCCCAGTTAACTGCGCTGTTAAGAAGAGGCCAGGACTCTCTTGAGCAACTCAGAGCTTTAGTAAAACAAGAAATGTTCATTTAAAGCTGAGAGAGGAGGGAAGTGCCCAGCTGGCTAAACCTCATCCATCCTAGAGAAAGCCAACAGGACAGTTTTCTCCTGTAGTTATGAGGGTTTACTTTGCTGCTGTGAGTATGCGTAGGGGTGTGCGTCCTAATTGGAAGGGGACTTGTGCAGTTAGGGGTCTGTACCTCGTTAAAAGCCAGTGGGCAGCTTCACTTCCAAGATATGTGGGGCTTCTAAATCGTGTAGGTTCCTCAGGAAATGTGACCTCTGGTTTGGCCCTGTCTGGCTTCAGTTGGCTGATAGGATGGAGCTCTTTTCCCCTGCTGAGATGTGCTACGTGGTGAGGAAACTCTTAGGAACAGTTCTGCTGCTGAGGGATGATGTGAACGCAAATTGGACGGAGAAAGCTTTTTCCTGTGAAATCTGTGGCTGTTGGACGTGTGAATGGTTGTCTTTGTGGGAAAAGGACACCCGTTCATAGAGCATTCAGCATATCGGTGCCGCCCGTTCAATGTGCTTCCTAAATGTAGCTCCAACGTGGTCTTCAGTGGAAGAGGGGGGAAATCAGAAAGGTGAGCACTGTGGCTGCAGCCCCTGGTTCCTCACGCTGTCAGATCTTGCTTGATATGAGAGTAATTCGTTCCCCTTCAGTTTACGCGCTGGTTACTGATGTGGGATGGATAAGAGCGCCCGTTGCTCGCAGCATTCCTCGCGAAGGTTTGGTGAGCTGCATCTCGTCTCGTCCGCAGCTGTGGAAAGGTCGTTCGGACCCAGTCCTGCACATCGAGCTCAGACGGTGGGCTGACCTCATGTTGGTGGCACCTCTTGACGCGAACACGCTGGCAAAGCTCGCCAACGGCATCTGTGACAACCTGCTGGTGAGTAACCAGAGCTCTGCCGGAGAGTTCGCTCACCTCTCATCGTCAGGCTGTCCGACCTTTCTTTCGTGGAAACTCTTGTGCTTCTGCAGCATCGAGAACAGCAAGATTTGCATGTTATGCTCCCACTTCACATGCTCCTCTCTCTCCCCCTCCACTATGATTCCCCTATTCCCTCTTAAACAGTAGTTCTTGCCTTCCCTTGCCGTTCCTGGGTGCTCTCGGTCCCTTCCGTTATGTCCCAGTCCCTGCTTTGTGCCTTTCCTGCTTTTCCTGACGGGTGGTATTTCTGTTTTGTCCCTCTGCCCTATCTCTGTCATGCATGTGCACACACATGGGTGCTGTACACCCTCAACTCTCTTTTGAGTTCCTCTCTGCATTTTTCAGATGCAATCTGGAAAGACACCTGTGAGATCAGATAAAATTGTTTACTTCCTGCTGCCTCACTCCTCCCTCACCTAACTGCATAGCACAGAAATTCAAACATGTTCACACTTACCTTCCAGTTTCAGCTACAGAGGTTTTCGCTTGTTCAGGCTTGTTTTTCTGGTATTAGAGGATCTCTGGCTCAAAGACTGATCAGAAAGTGTATTAAAAGAGTGTGCGCTTCTTTTTCAGCAATGAGGAACTTCAGCAGGGCTGAATCCTTTGTGTCCAGGCATTAAGTCTTCTTTAGGAGGAGTCATAAGCATTAACCACCCAAAAGATCTGCCAGGAAGCTGCAGATGTTGCATCACCCTTCAGTAATGCAAGGAGGCTTGCCAGGAACGGAGGGCAGCCCACCAGCTCTGGCTTGGGAGCCTTGCATGACCAACTCAGCTGTTCAGGCAAGAGAGAGTGCATATAAATGAACAAAATATGCCCAGAGCAACAGCCCTCGTTTGTATGAGTAGATCACTGGAGATCTGAGAGAAGCCAGAAAGAGCTGTGGGGGGGACAAGCAGTATCTTGGCCTTCTGGGTCCCCTTGGTTCAATAGATGTGATGGTGGTAGCAGAGGGAAGAGCTCAGGGAGGATGTTAGGGGTGCGTGGCTTCACAAACGCCTGCCAGGGTTTTCAGAGAGCCTTGTGGAGGAACTAGGTAGCTCCAGCAAAGGAAAGCAAGTGCTGGAGGTGCTGGTTGGCAGGTTAGAACAGATTCTAGCAGCCTTTCCTGTGCTGGGAAGGGTTCAAATCACAGGGCATAAAAAGGAGTGGCCAGGGTTCTCGTAAGTACTCTGTGGTCTGAGCAGAGACCCTGCACCAGGGGCTGTTGCTATCTGGGAAGCTCTCTTTGCATGACTCAAATGCTGCTAGACCTAGGGAGGCTGATGGAGGTGGCATTAAGGGCAACCAGCATGTGTCTTTTTAAGGAGATGAGGTGATACTGGGTTTTCTGGAAGTTCTGGCATACTGAGGAGTCAGATCTGATTCCCTGTAGCATGCAGGAGCTGCTAGATGGTTCGTAAGCTGCCAGCATCTTCTGCAACAGCCCAGATGCGTTCATGCTGTCCTCTGTTTGTATCCTGGAAGCAGCAGTGCTTCTGTTGGGAGAGGGTACGGATCCAGTTGGCAGATCATTTAAAAAAGACTCACTTGCCAGCTCTGTGTGTTTAGCTCTACAGCTGGCTTATCTGAAGCGTTGCCTGGGGGTTTCTCTACAGCTGATACGATCTGTGGCCGCTCCTCAGCTGCTCTCTGTCTCCCACATGGGCCAGCAGCCTGCACGCACTGTGTTCCAGCTTGGTTTGCTCCAGCCATTGGGCTGCTTGCTTGGCCCCGAGCCGGAGTAGGATGGGATCTGTCGTCCTGGTAGCCTCCCTCATCTTTCTTGCCTGTCGGAGATGAGCTTTCCTGGAATGTAATACAAATTAGCCGCAGCCCTGTGGATCTGCCTGTGAGTTAGCCCAGCTGCACTGACAGATTGAGGCTTTCGGCCCTCGCCCGGGCTGGGAAAGTGCTTCTGTGCAGCCAAGCGATGAGAAGGAAGGAGGAAAGACAGCCCATCCCAGAGCTCTGCCTCTTGGCTTCTCTTGCAGACTTGTGTCATCCGTGCTTGGGATCTGAGCAAACCTCTGCTCTTCTGCCCAGCTATGAACACGGCCATGTGGGAACATCCCATCACAGCTCAGCAGGTGGAGCAGCTGAAAGGCTTTGGCTACACAGAGATCCCCTGTGTGGTGAAGAAACTAGTGTGTGGAGATGAAGGTCAGTCCTTTTGCATGCCTCCTGCCTGGTTTCCTGCACGGGCGCTGCTCTTGTCCTGAAGGGACGTGCGTTCTTTTGCCGTGTGGCCTTCAAGATGTTGGACTGCGGGGAGCGGGTGCTCGCCGCCAGGGTTTAGAGAAATAGACTGAAGTGTTGGCCCGTGCTTGCTGATATCTATTATTCTCATTCATCAATTTTTAAGTAGTCTTCAGAGACCATCCAAGCCAGGCTTTCAAATGAGCTGTTAGATATTTAGAAGAAATACTCATTCAAGAAGAGAGTAGATCAAAGAGAAGGAAGGCTTTGCGGTGAGTGTTATCAGCCTGGGATTTGGGTGTCCTGACCTTGCCCTCTGCTGTGACTGTGGGTTGTTTTCATCATACCTCAGTTCCTCATCTCTAGCACAGGGATAATATCTTATCCCTGAGAGCAGACAGTGAGAATAAGGGCTTTGCAGATGTGGCTGGGGGTGTAGCTGGACGTGCGTTTAACATTTGTTGTTGTTTGTTGCCCGGGTTACTCTTCAGCTTCCCAGTCGGGTTTTGATTTGGGGTTTTGACATCAGACTCGTCTGTGAAGCGAAAGAGTGGGGCAGGGAGAGTTGTCACACTCGCTTTCGAAAGACTTAACTTGCAGTGCTAAGAAGTACTACTAAAATGATCACATTTGTATTTTAGGAGCTGCTTTAAGTGCAGGTATTTTGGCTCTGGGAAGGTTTTGAGAAGGGCTTTTGTACAAACAATTTGGATGAACAGATTCACTTTTAATCAAAATTTTATTGGACAAATTGTCTGTAAAGTGTCACCCAGTTCTCACTGTAATAGCAAATATGCTCTTAGCTGCACAGTAGTATACTCATACTTTTGTTTAACAACCTCAATTCCAGCAGGATTTTAACTGCTCTGTCAGATGGTTCAGTAAACAGTCTGTAGGGAAGAGACAGGATGTTAAAATGTTCTTCAAGGTTAAATTCCAGGGCTGCCTTAATTTCTCAGATCTTGGGTAGATGCAGTGCTTCTATAGAATGTTTTTTTTGAGCTGCAGACTAAGAAATATTTACCGTTGTTGCTGATACTTAGAATTTTTGGTAATTAAAGTTTAATCAATAGTTTCAATTATAAACTAGTTAGTAGTTGATTTTAATAATATAGAATTATAAGAAATCTTTTTAATGAAAAGTATGCTCTTATAGTAAACACATGCTGCTATGAAACTCCATGTATAGCCCTGTACCAGGACCAAAGGGATAGGTCCGAATCATTTAGTAAGAACATGTAGTAACATGTAGTACAAAGCACAAGTTGATTTGTAAACTGATTTATGATACCTACATAGAACTAGAAGAATGCATGTAGCTATCAAGGTCTAGATTAATGAAGATGAGGAAAGCCAACCGTAACGGTTTCGTAATGGTCTATGGGTACCTGCCAGAAACCGTGATCTTAAGCGAAAGGTAATTCCAACAGGGGGAGATCACGACCACCGACTCACAGACCACCTACCCATATTACACCCCAGACTCATTTCTAGATGATTCTAACTTTTATTGCGCAGAATCGGAAATGAGAGGAGAATATGCTAATGATTTTCGGGAATTTATATGTTTGTGCATGAATACCTAATGAATATGCATATGTCAGCTCTATATAAGAAGTTTGATTTCGGTGCAAGGGGCGCACGCTAGGAGGAGATATCCCCCGTGCACCCGGCGCCGCAATAAAGAAGTGTCTGCTTCTCTACATCCCATTGGTGTTGATAAGTTTCTTATTCCGGATTTTCCGTAACACCGTTAGGTAAGCGTAGTCAAGTAACTTGGGCATCAGTTGAAATATCCTGGACAATTATGCTTCCACTGGGATTTCAGACCTGATTACATCAAATTTCTTACGTACTTGTAATAATATGAAGGGAAAACGCCCAGAAGAGGTCATTCTGCGCAGACATTTTGGCAGAAGTTGAAAGGCCATCTGGCAGAGCTTCTTTGTCCTTTATTTTTTCCCCCTTCATCTTTTTTTTGTACACATATAGGATCTCTGTTCCTGTCGTAAGCAGCTGGGTGCCTCCTAATGGGTAACGTGCCGCTTCTCCCAGGTTCCTGCACTGAGCCCTGCAGGAGCTGCTTCTTATTCAGCTGTCTCTCTACTGTGAGAACAAACTCGTGAAGGAGCTTGTAGGAGAGGGATGGATGGCATGGACAGCTGGGGCAGCAGTAGCCACATCTTTAGCCACATCTGACTTGACTCCGCTTGTGTTTGTGAGTCAATTCACAACGAGATTTTCCTGTTGGCAAACGCCAGGATTTTCCTGGTGGTATGTTCTTGTGGTTAGCCCAGCTGATCGCTCGCTCACTCCTCCCCCTCGATGAGGTGGAGAGGAGAAAAATGTAACAGAAGGCCTGAGGATAGAGATAAGAACAGGGAGGGAGCGCTCGCCAACCATGGCCTCAGGCAAAACAGACTCAGCTTGGGGACAAATCAATTTAATTCATTAACAGTTAATTGAGAGAACAAGAAACAAAGCCAGATCTTAAAAAAAAAACCAAAACAAACCAACACCTTCCTCCCACCCAGCCCTGCCCAGAGGGGATGGGGGGGTCTGACCTGGCCAGAGACCCGTCCGACCAGTTTTGGAGCCTGGGGAGCTTCTTGCAGCTTCTTACAGGGGTTATCTCTGCAGCGTTTCCCCTGCTACCAAACCCCATCACATAAACCCAGCACGTGTGTAGGAAAACTGTGGCAGAGCAGTTGTTGTGGTTTAATCCCAACCAGCAGCTAAGCACCGCACAGCCGCTCGCTCACTCCTCCCCAGCAGGATGGGGAAGAAAACTGGAAAGGTAAAAGTGAGAAAACTCGTGGGTTGAGATAAAACCAGTTTAATAATTGAAATATAGTAATATAAAAATTGTATTGAAAAGGGAAATAAGAGAGAAATAAAAGCCCCCCTGCCAACCTCCACCCGAGTCAGTTGGGGTCCTGGCTGTGTTCCCTCCAAACTTCCTGTGCCCCCCAGGCTACTCACTGGTGAGGGGTGCGAGAAGCGGAAAAGACCTTGATGCTCTGTAAGCACTGCTCAGCGATAACAGAAACATTCCCTGTTACCCACACTGGTTCCAGCACAAATCCCAAACACAGCCCCCTACTAGCTACTGTGAAGATAATTAACTCTGTCCCAGCCGAAACCAGCACAGCAGTAACAGACTCCAGGTCTCTTGAAGACCCCAGACAGCCTCCACCACTGACTTTTTTCCTCTCTTCCCCTCTTTTTTTCAGGCTTTTCACCCTGAGGCCTCTTCTTCCACGCTGATTTTGGTTTTGTGGGTTTCATCCACAGAGGGGTTTGCCCAGCAGGTAGCAAAGCTCAGACATCTGGTGCAGAGGAAAAGAGATTCAGTTTGCACCAGTTTTGTCTGTTGACATTGTGGTTTGTCTTGCTGTGAAAGAGCTTTATATCTTCCTCCACTCATGTGGCTGGTCTCACCTGAAATGGGCCAGATCCTGACTGCCAGCGAGTTTCTGCCTTACAAGCTTTACCTGATTAACTTTGCTTCCTTAGTAAATGAGTGGTTTTAGACACAGAGTCCCGCTAAAAGAGAGTTAAAGGAACAAATTAAATTGAGTTGATAATTAAAATGTTTCCTTGATTGGCTAGTTAAATGTAAGCTACTGGCTGTTGATGATATCCATGTGCCACGATATCAAGAGAGCTTTGAGAGGTGCTGTACCTCACGTGGGCCTGCAGGAATCTGCCTTCACAAAAACGTTGCCAAACTGCTGGTATCTTCATCGTCCTTGGCTGGATTTCTAGAGCCTGGCACACTGGAAGGCTTCTACCTGTAGGCATGAGCTGTGCTGCAAGACAACTGCTTAGCAAGATTTCGCTCTGCCAAACCTAAAAATCCAGCTGTGAACTGCCAAAGATGTTGAGGTGGGTGGTGGAGGACAAAGGCAGGCCTTGGAAGTGTTCTTGAAGGGTGTCGCTCTGCCAAACCGTGCAGAGGCAGTCAGGGAATTTCTCTTGTTTGGCAGGACCAGTCAGCTGCAGCTCCTCTCCTTGAGGTTAGGAGATCAGAAGGGCCCAAATCTGCCTGTGGCTTGTCCGTAGGGTGCTTCAGACCTCCTGGGATTTGCGGGTCTGAAGAAGGTGTAGTGGAGAATGAGTCTCACTTTGCAGGGAAACCCAATTTTCTTGACCTTCCCGAAGTATCTTTCCTCAGCCCCAAGCAGATTACAGCAGTGAATGGACAGAGTTTTGAGTGCTGAGTTCAGTACACGAGGTTGGACGAGGCGATTTCATCTGGCCTTTAAATTCTGAAGCTAAGTTTAAGAAGTATTTTGGAGGGAAGCGACAGCGCAGTGTAGATTAGATGTTCGTCTGGCAACTAACCAGTCCAAAAGGAAAAGCTTTTACATTTTGTTCTGCCCAGCACTCAGTGTTCTCCAAGAATTACTCCCAAGATTCAAGCTGGTGCGAATCCAGGACGGTTTTCTCTTAATGTGGGTCTAACTGCAGAGTCACGGGAATGGTAGGAATTCGGCGAGTCTTTTTTATAGGCAAAGGCCCTTTCAAAAAGACACTGCACACGCACAGTGTTTACACTGGAGAAAGGAGGAGAAATAAGATATTTTGCTACCCACACGCTGTTTTGTGGCACTTTTGCACGCTTGCCCCCAGGGCAGCGTGAGCCAAGATAGGAACTCCCTGTGCGGTCAAGGGTTAGATGCAGACACCCCTGGAGATGATTCAGAACATGAGGTACTTGTTAAGGTCATACGAGTTGCCTTTTGAGGTTTCCTGCCTCTCTTCATTGACTGCTGAGGAGCTTGTGCTCAGACTTGTGAGCCAAACTAAGCGTAAATACTCTTCTTGCTCTCCTCCCCTGCTGGCATCCAACCACGCCACCGAAGCCCTGCAGAACCAGATGACCTGAGCAAATCCTCTGGCCTCTGCAGTTGCTTTCTGTTGGGCAAGTCGTGAGGAATCATGTGGGGATGGATACTTGGTGAGCTTTGCTGTACCGTGCCACCGTTGTACATCTAATTTTCCGCAGTGGTGCGGCGTGGAAGAAGCGAGGAGGTGGGACAGGAGAAGCACGTGCAGGACCTGGATTTCACCGCGTAGTTTTGCTTTTCCCCTGCAGGTCGAGGTGCCATGGCAGAAGTGTGGACCATTGTGGAGAGTGTGAAAAGGACCCTTGAAGAGCGGGGCTTGCCGACGCAGAGCTGATGGTTTGGCGTGAGAATTGCATTTGTTTGCCTCCCTGATGACTTGAAGATAAAACCAACAGGAAGCTGAGTCGAGATGGCGTGCGTCCCTGTAACGCACTCCTCAACCGAAGGAGCGAAACGGTTGTCTTCCAGCTGGTGCCACACCGAAATGTGGTACATCACTGCAGGCTTTCAGAAACCAAAGCCAAGAAGGTGCTGCTTTAGTGTGGGAAAACTCTGTGGCACCTGGCAGAGAGGGAGTAACGTTCCACTAGGCCCCCGGTATTTCACACGCACTCCTTTCTGAGGAGGCTGCAGAAGGAATTGCCAAAGTATTTCAGGTCCAGTGTTTCCCTCAAGGGCTGCTAGAGGGGAGAGTGCTGTGCAAGTCCTAGTGATGGGGATGATGCCAGCCTCTTCCAGCCCGTTGGTGAGGGGACATCCCTGCTCTCCAAAGCCTGGTCCGTAGCTGTGCCGGCTTCACTTTCCAGCCGGAATCACTAGCCAAAAGGCATTTCTCCTCCAGGAGCTTAATAAAAGAGACCTTTTAATTCTGACTCTGACAAATTGCCTCTTGTAGCTGCTTTGTGGGGGTACGTTGCACCTAATATTGTTGCTAAATTGTTGCGTCTGCGTGCTGTTTTTATCAGAAATGGGGAAAAAATGGGCTGAAAGCAGCTTAGCCTTTGCCCTTTTGTAGCTGTTGAGCGGATAGGGATGCAGACATCAACCATGAGCTAAAATGACACCTGCCCATCTGGGTGCTCCAGTCGGGAAGTGAACAGGCTGGGCCCTTGTGGAAAGCCAGGGTGGGGGGTATTTCCCAAGGGAGCGCAGTCGAACTCTGCTTGCGAGGATCCTTTTTGGCCTGAAAATTAACCCACTGGCATGAAAAAAATTGGGAAATCCTGTGACCCCATGGGCCAGGCCAGCCAGGGCTCCCCGAGTCCAGCCTTTCTTTGGAGACGTGATTCCATTCCTGAGGGAATAGGAGCAAACTGGGGCTGTCGAACACGTCGCTGCTGACCTGAGAGTTTATTTTTAACTAGACTCAGCCCAATTTAAGGCCTTTGGTACAGAATGTGCATCTTGCCTGTGGGGGCAACCTTCAGGCTGCTGCGCACAAGGGAAGAGGTTATCGGGGTATGTTTGCTTTCCTTATCTATTCCACACAGATGAAAACCTCTGAACTTTCTCATTTTTGGCTCTTCCACTGACAGAGAGCCGGGGATTCAGAGCTGCTCAGAAGGATCCTCGTGTGAGCAGAGCGTGTGGCTCACACGAAGGGCCTCAGGGCTACCGTGGTCGTGAACTTTGCGTTTTGCCGGAGAAGCCTTTGTGGTGTGACCTGCACTGTTTTGCTCACGTCCTCAGCGTGGGGAAAGCTCTCCATCTGTCAGAGAATCTTACTGAAGGTGGTAGAAGAGATGCCTCTTGGTTTCCATGAGTTTCGTAGTGAACATTGTTTCTCCTACTTGGAGAGAAATCCGTGTTCTGGCAGTGGCGACTGTAACCTGACCTTGGGGCTCTCCTCTTGGCTCTGCCCTGGATATCTCGTGTGGTTGCAGTCGCTTATCCTTCCTCCTAGTCCGTGACTTGGCAATACACAAAATTTGACAATAAGGCTCCTCGTAGCAGGGCGAAACACCGTGTCCTCGATAAGAGTGTTCATCTGCCGCAGATCTGCTGTGCTGCCTTAAGCTGCTCCCAAAATGTTCGCACATACCATCCGGCTTCTCCTGGCACCGTGGAGCGGACGAGGAGACGTGCAGTGTACGCTGCAAAGCGCCAGCTCTGATAATTCAGCAGAAAGGGGTAACATGGCTTTTCTAGGTCCAGAATTTCTCACCTGAGAGCGTGCAGGTGTGGTGTTTGTAGAAGCAGTGTTAGTGGGCTGGTCTGGGAAGAAAGAAACCATTAAGAAGGCAGATTTGCCTCTCAGCCTTGTTGAGAGGCTTAATTTAAAGTTTGCAAAGAACTTACAGATCCCTGAATAAAGGGAGTCAATTCTTTGTCCCACAAATATATAGGGCAGCAATAGAAAAGTACGGCTGAGTAGAGAACGAGGGGAGCACTTCACAGGGGCCAAAAAAGCGATGAAGAAAACTCCTCCATAGAGGACACTGCTCCTGTCTCATCTCTGCTGCAGAAACAGCTACTAATCGTGCTGCCAAATGGATCCTCTGCATAATTGCTGGGATTTCTAGTTGGAGGCAGGTTGCGATAGCGTTGCAGGTTTGGATAAACCCGTGCCCAAACCGCCTTTCCTTCGGGGCAGGTAGAAGAAACAGTTACGTTCCTTTTTGGAGGCAGAGGGCTGATTCCACCCCCAGCACAGGCACGCGTCCCCACCCACGGCCAGGTAGGTGCAGGCAGCCTGCGGGCAGG